CTAAGACGGCTATGAACGGTAAAGAGTTATGTTGTTCCTTTTCGAAAGTAAATTTGAGAGCCGAGTGCAACAAGTTTAGGTCTTGTAAGAAATACTTGCATTCCTGTTCAGTTTTAAAAATGGCAAATGTGTCGTCTACATAGCGGAAGTAAACAGCAGGTCTGGTAACTTTGTTGAATAGTTCATTTTCATGGAAACCACAAAAATATTGGCTAAGGCAGGTCCAAGAGAACCCATGGCGACTCCGTCGATCTGTTGATACATGATATCATTAAAGCTGAATTCCACCGAACGTGTTGCAGTATTCATCAGTTCAATAAACAGGTTCTTAGGTATTGGAGGGCACTGAACTTCTCCACCATACACAGTATCTGCACACATTTTGATGATTTCTTCCAGGGGTACATTAGTAAACAAACTGCTGATGTTGAAGGAGCACAAAAACGATTGTTTAGGGTCAAGGCTAAGGTTCTGTATGGTTGTAGCAAAAGAAAAGGAGTCTTGAATACAGTTTTCTGAAATGGACGCTAACACATGTTCTAAAATTTCCGAAAGCCACTTTGCTAATATATGTTGTGGAGAGCCAATCATAGACAAAATCAGGTGGAGTGGTACATCCTTTTTATGCATTTTAGAAAGGCCATATATATGGGGACATTGTGAGCCTGCAGGCCTAATCCGATCATAAATAACACGTGGTAAGGAACCTTTCTAAACCATTTCTAATAAGTGTTTTTGTAACTTGTTTTCAATTTTTGCCATGTTATCCTTTTGCAAAACAATGCCTTGCCTTTTGAATTTTGTTTCATCATTTAAGATGTCACATATTTTTTTCAATGTAGTTAGTTTTATTCAAAATGACGGTACCAGACCTTTTTCAGGTTTTGTGATAAGCATAATTGTTCAAGCATAGACATTTTATAGCCTGAAAATGTTCTCTATGCATATAGAAGTCAGTAAGGTCGATTGGTGTGCCACAGTAAGCCAAATCATGTAGTCTGGCCTTTAGCGAGCTTAGTTCTTCATCCGATACTGGTTTATGTTTAGTAAGTTGAGCATATAAAACTTCAAATTCTGCAAAAATCTTCTCTCTCTGGATATTGTTAGTAGGTACACAAAACTCTAGACCATGTCCAAGTACAAATTCTTCTACTTCAGAGAGGCAGTAGTCTGAAAGATTAATAACGTGCTTTCTAGAGTCACTCAATGAACCCCGAAACGTTTCTTAATAAGAATGTTTACGTTACGATCGTATTTTGTTTTTGTCTGGTTTTCCATCTGTTCATCAATTTTGGAATTGTAGTGGGAAATCATGTCGAAAAATGAAAGAAATTTTATAATTTTTGACCACAGGTTGCGATAACAAACTTTTACTTTAGAATACTGTTTTTGGTTTTTCTCGATTTCATCATTCAAAAATGCATGTTCTATTATTGGACTATGTCTCTCTCGGGATCTTGCAATGCATTGGCTAATTAATTTTGGTACGACTCATTTTACGATGCATGTCTTTAGAAAGAAGGTAGACATTTTAAGAGTTCTGAGCTTACCTCAAAGCTTCACAAGTTGGTACAAATCTTCAATCTGATTCTTGGTGTACTGCTGCCGGAAATACTTGAAAAGTTTTTTTGGTGTACAAAACTTGAAGATAGCTTTTATATGTGGAAATATCTGTTAGTTGAGTACTTGCACAGACCTTAAAATATAACGTTGATAAATGGAAACAAGTTTAAGTTGTTCAAAATTTGAAAATAGTGTTGATAACTGGACCAATTGTTGGTTGAGATGCTGCAAAGGAAATATCTGCTTCAGCTATATCTTTGACTTTCAAGATCTACATATCTACATGTGCCAATGTTTCCGTTTATCAACTTTATATTTTAAGATCTGTGCAAGAACTCAGCTAACAGATGTTTCCACATTTAAAAGTTATTGCATTAAAACTATAACAAGCACAAAATAGTTACGAGGTCGGTTCCAGGGACCGAGCCTGCGCTGAAAGAGTTATACACATAATTTAGAACAGTATTTCTTATGCCATTGGTTGCTATGTGAATGTGGCTTATCCCCCTGAAAAAGCCCTTAGCTAGACGTCCGAGATAAAATAATATGACTTCCAGGTATAACTACTGGCCATTTGTGAGATGTCATGATAGGGTGATGATTAACAGAAAGAAATTTGCTTAAACATATAATTAGTGCAACATTTAAAACAGTGGTTTCAACCTTTTGAACCCCACAGACAGACAAAATATTTTAAAAATGGTTACAGACTGTTAGGAGTATTTAGGCTAATAGATTTAATAGGTCTGTACTACAATATTTGCTCTATAGATATGAAATAAAAATAATACAGATACTTATAAATAGGACTGTAGAAACTAGCTTCAAAAAATATTTGGAATTTTAATAACATAAATATTGACTCACAAGTAATTGTAGATGTTTTTGATTATCATACATTTCTCTTTTCTATGGCACTGGATATTTCTATGGACTTTCTAAAAACCAATCACCTGACCAGTAAAGGTCCGAGTAGCAGAAGTTGAGAACTGCTGCTTTAAAACAGCTTACCATCAGAATAGAAATATCATAACTATATTACTTGCCTAGAGATGCATAGATTTCACTAAATGCTGTAAGATGGTCTCTTAACTCTAAAGCTGAGGACATGGCTAGTAATAATCGACTTTTTCTTCCAGCTGGACCCACCTAAAAGAAAATATACAAGTATTAACTGCTAAGATGAGAACCTGACTCTTGTCAACAGTAAAAGCTCCATAAGCAAACCAGTAAAAATATAACAGCATAACCACAACACAAGTAAGTAGAAAGTGGTGTTTGTTGTGTAGTTGTTAAAGTAACTTACATAAAAGATTTTTAGTGATACTTCAACTAAATGCTATTGTTTTTTTATACATAAACAGCTGATATTTTCTTATACAGGCCAGTAATAATAACTTAACATTTTAAGAATTTATACTGGGTTAATTATCATTTGTAAAATTCATGGGTAAATTTTCTAAACATAAACACTTGACTGATTCTTACAACAGTAATCTTGAGCATACTAGTTTTCTTATGTGTTACAAAGCAAACTTTACTGGTTCATTCAAACTGGTATTCTTGATTAGTTGATTCAGACATTTGTGCAAATCTACACAAGAGCTAGCTGTTTTTGTTTTCCCGAAAGAGTATAAAGTCTTGTTAAAATGTTTTCTAATGTTAATCAATGCACACTTATAGCAAAACTGCAAGAAAAAGCAGTGAAACATAATATATAGCATACCGAGGCCCAAACATTTTTAATACTTCTGTACTTATATTTCATGTTATATTTGATTGTTTTAACAAGGGACACTTGGAGAGTATCGTGATCAGAATTACTATCCAAAAACCAGAAAGACAAGTTATGAATCATAATATGTGAAAGTTTGAAACTGGTCAATATTCTACTTTATAGATAAATGCAAGTGTCCTATTTGATTGAGTTTGGATATTTGTCAAGCAGGAAAAGCAAAACCAGTAAAGAAAATGAAAGTAACAAAAAGAATAGTAGGGAAGGTCATTATTTCCAAAACTGTGGAATTGGTGATAGACTCAATGGTTCAATAAAAGAACAAATATTACCTACTTTGTAACTCAAATAAGCAGCTTTATTATATATCCAATATCATCATATTATCCTAGTTGAGCACATGTGTACTAACAAATACTTGCCCTTAACATTAAATTAAATGTTTTGTGTGTTTACTCTTCAAACAATAAGTTAAAACTTTTAGGTATATGCAAATCAACTTTTTTAAACAATATAAAATAATACACTATACCATTCTATTTTCTAAACAAGAACCTTCTAGCAAACTGTTTATACTAATACGCGAGTCTCTCTACCAGCAGCCTTCATTTCACACTACATATTTACAATTTGTTTTTACATATAAATGTAAACATTCTATCTCAACAATAACTGACAATTCATATAACACATTCACTTGCATACTTAAGAAAACCTTTAAGGTCTTACCTCTGCTACTTTAATAAACCGCCCCCGTCTATTTTCTTTCACATCAAGATAAAACCTTTTGGATTGTATCTGAAGAACTTTAGTAGCTAACTCCTGTTCTGGTGGTGGTAGTAGCTGCCCTGTTAGAAAGTCCAAATAAAAGCAATGTCTATTCACCATGTTTCTTTACGAGCACGAACACTGTAACACCTAAGGAAGCTAAAAAATTCTTCCCGATTTTTAAACAACACGAGTATTGCTAGCTGTTATTGGTCAACAATAATAGTTTACAATTTATTCCCAACTTCTTTCAATTACTAATTATTGATTTCATTATTTAATATTATTATATTAATTACTTACATTATCATTTGTGCATATTTTATTGCTATGTAAATAACCAGGAACACTATCCATATGCCATACATATAACTATATATATATACTGACTTTCTTCGAGTTATTAAAAAGTATGCTCAGACCAGGCTGTTCACAAACTGAACAACACCGAAAGGTAGTAGGTTTTTCAATAATCTATTAATAAAAGTTCAAGCAGTACAAAAACTATTGATTCACTGAAGTGAAACATCAATATGATAAAAAATTTTGGCTAAAAGTAGTATAACAGAAATTAATATAGAAGAGTGAGCAATAGAAAATTAGTGCTATTTAGTCTATAGAAATTATGAAAGTGAAGTTACACAGTAGTATAGAGTAAATAAACTGAGATAAAACTATTATTTTAATACCTTTAACAATAGAAAATATCAGAAAATGAAATCAACAATCAATATTAAATGTCCTTTTCATTCTCTTTCATATTTTAATTATTCTTATCAAGTAAGTAATAATTTAAATAAAAATTAAAATTATAATGACAATTGATTTTCAATAAGGAAAATAATGTACACAAATTGTATTTTAAAGTACCAGAAACCACCACTAAGTAATACAATTCAAAAAAGTGGACCCTTCCAAAACATTTTGAGTTCATTTTTTCAAGTTGTTGCACAAACTGAAACATGGCAAGTATGCGTGCGTGTATATATATATATATGCACACACACATAATAAAAATTATACAAATACATATACCAACAACCCAAGTATATCACGTTTAAAATTAACGTGGGTGACCTTGACCTTTGTACCCATTGTTCCTAACAGCTCTCTTTCATAGTTACAATTCCTGAACTCCTAATGTTTTCAAAATTGTTGTTGGAAAAACAAACTAGTCGGGCAAGTTTAAGAATTTCTATGATCGTATATCCAGATAAAATATTATTTCTAACAGAAGTATTTCTTTCGTATTAAAAACATATACATTCCCCAAGTGTAATACATATATTTGTGGTAAATTCAAACTTTCATGAATATGGTTACATATTTTACGAAAATTGTAGGTAAAACTGTAAATATATTATTATTATGTCACCCGTCTGCAGTCTCACGGGGAAAACCTTGAACGTGTAGCAAAACAACAAGAGAAAAAAACAAAGAAACTTATGTTACCAGCCTTACCTAAGCTACCCTTCCTCTTTTGTTCAAGTTCAAGGTTACGAAACCACTAAAAATAAAGTTATAAAGTCACGCCAACAAACAGGCCGAACCAGTTCTGCGTGTGTAGCTTTCAGTGGGAAACCTCAGCTTACAATGACCAACTTAAAAAGCTGCCCACGAAACAATGGACAAAATAGCATTTTTTTTCTTTCTATAAGTCATTTTATGATTGATTACGCTAATGACGAAACATTTTGATTTTCGACAGTTTTAGATTAAGTTCTGGGAAGTTCAATACTTGTTTTCACACTTCCGCTCTTAAGAACTGCGACGTTTTATTATTGAATGTCACGCAGCAACTTCAGTAATCTCTCTCCACGCTTTGGCCAGTTTTAGCAATGAAACAACGGAAATGCTGGCAAGTACCAGAATAATACTGTAATCTGAAACACACACTAGGAAGTAAGCCTAATCAATGGCAAAAATAATTCAAAATAGTTTAGTATATGTCACATTATTTAGCACGTGAAACCCAATCAAAACACATTGTATTACACACAAACCCCTTGTCACCAGCCATAAGCCAACATCAATCGTAAAAAAAAAAAAAGTTACAAGTAAGACACGTTTTCGATGCCTCACCTTGACATTTTAAGTTTCATTATGTACGTAAACATAATAGGAACGAGGAACGTTTCTTTATATTTTGTATATTATGCTCGGTTCTAAATGTGTTCATCCATTCCACGTTATCGGTTATTAATCTATCAGTTGGAAGGGAATAATAGCTTTCCTCCCCCACTTTAAGAGAATAGGCCAGTCCGATCAATATGTCGCGTCGGTTACAGCAGACAGGAAAGTTACTAACAAATTATCTTGGCACATTTGTGTCTGGGTTACGTAATATCACATTAGAAACTAACGGACCATGCACACAACATTCCTTGTTACACGTACATGTGAGAGGACAACACAAAGTTGTAAAACACATTAAAGTAGTGTTCAACCTAAAGATGGAGAGTAAAATCGTGGAAAGGTAATAAAATAAGCTGCACTGATACAAAGCCATTCTCAGTTAACAATTTGATGCGATATTCCATTATTATTATTATTACTTACATTTTGCGCGGTCAGTATGTAAGGTCGATGATTACCTTCAGTTTCAAACGTGTGATTTCTATATACTTACCTCTGTCCCCTACGGGCACTATGTGAGGTTGCTGCTGTCTATTCATCTGCGTGTGCTAGCAGCAGTCGACGCTCGTTCACATGCTACAAGTCATATCTGCACGTTGCCGTCAACATACTTTACCCGCGAGAGACTTCACCCGACGGTAACTTTCCATACTATTACAATGCACATGTATCGCTGCGCCGTCACGCAAAGGTATTGACAGAAAACAAGAACGCCTTTCTCGAATAATATTTAGAATACGAATTATCCCAGAAATATAACTACTACAACCAACGGCATTACTTTTGATAAAATCGTATTAACTTACAAAATGTATAAACACACGATTAAAGCACACTACGTGGATGACAGGTTCGGTGTGTGTAATTATGCTGATCCCCAAGTCAAGATCAGATGGGTAACTTTAAGACAACTAAACAGTTTTGTATCTGTATATTATCTACTGCATCGTATCCCAAACTTTTGTCATTTACGCCCTCTTCAATAAATATGCTCTCTCGAGCACCATCTTTTTTAAATGAGTTGACGAGATGTAATACACGGATACGCATCAAAATGCTACATGTGTTGTAGTAATTACTTATTATTTTCATTGATAAAAATATTTTAAAACACTTAATTTTACGTTATTGCACTATTGACTCTCCTAGTCGCTCCCCCCCCCTCCCACCAAGAAATTATTTGCGCTCCCTCGGAGATGCACCCCTCACTTTGGGAAACGTTGATCTACTGTACTAACTATAAAAACATTAAATCAAATAATGAAAAGTCAAAACTGAAAACCCCTAAATAAATATGGAACTAAAAAATAACTACAATACTTCAACTGTTTCACAAATTGAACCGTTTTGATTTGCTATACACGTTCCTTATCACAAAAATATCACACGAATCTACGCATATTCCATCCGCAGATATATTATTGCGATATTCTAAGACCGCTGGTTAGACTATCTGACAGTTTAATTTTCAAGAAAGAGACCAGTTCATGATAGTAACTATTACTACACGTTACCTCCTTGGATGACGTCCAACTGCTGCTGTTGTAAAACATTTCCTGTCTGTTCGCAAAAAGGGGTGTGTGTGTGTAAAAAAAAACAGCGATTAAATTGAGATTTTAAATAAGATGGAACTCCTTTTTGTGCTTCACTTTGACATTCCTGTCAGAACACCACGAACGCTGGTGGCTTGAATCCTCAAGAGTAGGAATCGCCCCCCCCCCCAATTTAACCCCTGGTCATATCACGACTGAGGGGTCATAACAGACCTACTGGTAGCCAGTGATTTATAGTACTTACAATTAATCAAAGCCACGTGGTTCAGCAGGTTTTCTTTCAGATATTCGCCCTAAGTTACACAACAGCTATAAGCACTACCAGTCCCTTGTTTTGAACCGATAAGACAACAGGGAAGGGAGCTACTCTATATGATGAGATTTAATCGTCCCACATATATATATCTCACTCACAGTCCCAAAATGCAGAGCGCGTTTTTTTATTTTTTTTTATTGGTAACCTGACAAGGAATAAGGACTCCTGGAACTACAGGCCAACACAGTAACTTCTTGGCCATGCCCAGCCTACCACGTAAATCATATGATTTATCATAAAGCACACTAATGGTTCATAATAGGGTTCGGCCAGGAATATCACAAAAATTCTAATAGAACATACGGGTAAAAACCATCTTAAAAAGCAGACTTATTTTTGAAACGACACTCAAGTCTTTTTATCTCAATGGCTAAGGCTACTAAAATACTGATAACAGCAAAAACAGTCGATTTTCCGATTATTAGACAAACTTCATTTATTTGTTCCTCATATTTATCATTTTTTCCTTATTACCAAGTTATTCTGCGAAGCCTATAGCAAAAATGGTTCGATATACTGCGCCAAAATTTATGCACAGCTACTAAAGAAACTCCTACAAAGTTTGTAGAGCTATTTTTAAGTTGATTCTTGAAAGTTTAATTTCCACCCTCTAAATTTTTCTAAGGTCTTCTTCGCTACCAACATAAGCTCTTTGAAGCCATTTAAGTATCGTGACACTAGTCGGAAATGCTCTGTTTCATACTAGTTCAAAACACTTCGAATTATTACAGTAAATAATGTGTATATTTATAACAGTGTCTATAGCCTTATTATTATAGTTTTACAAGCCGCCAACAGAAAAAAACGGCTATAAAATATTACTGAAACCTGGACAGTAGTAATGAATGCAGTATTGAGTATGTCATAGGATAGTTTTAAAATTAATTCAAGCGCCTTCGTTTTTTTCGCTTTGGAGAATTTTTCTAAGTCCTTCAGTTTCCGCCATTAAAAAAATCGAGTGTTTTACCAATGCACATTAATTGAAAATCATTTGTGCAACTTATAACGCATTCATTGGAAACTGCCATGTTGAGCATTCACCATTTCTTTACGTGGTTTTCTGCAACTATTTCAGTGGGTTTTTCTAATAATAGACAATTAGGATAGTAGATTTCTCTACTCTTATGAGTGGTGATTTATTCTACTGATTTTCGTACTTCGCTTGTTAAACGCGTTTACAGGAAACTTCAGGCACAAAACCACCTGGCTCAGTAGAAAATGGCTTGGTGAAAAAAAAAGCCAATGCAGCAGTAAACTGTTGAAAAACGTGGAACATAGTACTGAATGCAAGTATTAGCTTAAAATTTATCCTCCATAAATGGACATAAAAACTTAAGAAACAATATAATTAAAAATTATTAATTTAAAAAGGAGAACAGGGATCGTCAAAAACGTACAGAAACAAGTTGAATCAAAATGCAAAGATTATATTTTCAAGCCTACAACTACAGACTCCAAAAAGTAAACAAACTAAGCTGGAAATAGTCTACATTATTTTCTCAAGCTGCAAATTCCTATATTGAATTCACTAAAATTAATAAGTAATGTAGACATGGTGTCAAAATTACATAACAAGAGACCTATTGGTCCATCTCAGCTGTCCCATCCTCTAAACTAAACTATTAATAAATAAATTTTTAAAAAATCTTAAAGCCAGCACTTATCATTCATATATTTATCAAGCCTTCGCTTAAACTCCCTTAAATTTAATGCCTCCACAACACCCAAAAGCAAACAATTCTAAAGGCCAACCACCCTGTTAGAAGAATAAAACTCTTTTAGCTGAAGATGACTACTACCCTGCCAAAATTTATATTTGTGTGCCCTAGTCCTACTATTCTCACTGTTAAGTATGAAAAATTATTATGCATCAACATTATCAATTCCCTTTACAATCATAAACACCTCAGTCAGATCCCCCTAACTCTTCTTTTTTCAAGAGAAAACAATTTGAGAGATTTCAATCTCTCTTCGTATGACAACCCCTCCATCCTAGGCACCATTCTAGTAACCCTTTCCAACAATTCAATGTCTTTCTTAAGGTAAGGAGCTCAAGACTGAACACAATATTTCAGTGATCTATACAAAGAAATTATAACCTCTTAAGACTTGTATTCAATATTTCTAAAATCCTATTTGCAATCCCACTAGCAACAGTACACTGCTCGGATGGCTTTAGAAACTGATTAACTTTAAACCAAGATCCCTTGCTTTCATGACACTGTTAAGGTTATTCCCATCCAAATTATGATAACTCACATGCATCATCTTGCATTTATTATATTTAAAACCCATTTGCCATTTATTTGCCCAACTCACTAAATGATCTGAATATTTTTGTAAATCAGCAGCATCCTCTCCACAGCTAGCAACACCCAAGACCTTAATATCATCTGCAAATTTAAATAATTTATTGACCATTCATTCATCTATGTCATTGATGTAAATCTAGAAGAGCAAAGGTTCTAAGACTGAGCCCTGAGGTACCCCACTTGTGACATTAATCCAGTTTGACTGAACTCCACTTGTAACAACCCCCTGCTTTCTTCCATTCAGCCACTCTTCTATCCAATTTGCTAACTTATTCCCCACACCTATAGAGCTAATTTTGTTTTACAAGCCTTTTATGTGGCACCTTGTCATATACTTTTTGAAAATCCAGATACATCAAATCTACACTCATCTACATAAAGAGTAACCTTTTCAAAGAATGTCAAAAGATTTGCAAAGCAAAATTTTCCCTTAGGGATTTGTGGTTTGTGAAAATAATGTAGACACTATTTCCAGCCTAGTTTGTTTACTTTTTTAAAGTCCCTAGTTGTAAGCTTGAAAATTTTATTTTGATTGAGCTTTTTCTGTACTTTTTGATGACCCCTATTAAAATTTTTAAATTATTTTGAGTTATATTAATTAACTGGAACAAAAATAGGTTCGGCATTGAAGAAACCATAATGTTGAGAAAGTAGTGTCACTTAACATTAAATCAATTAACCAATCAACACAAAACTAAGGATGCATTAAATACAATGTGTTTAAAACATCAGTTTATTGAACATTTCTGCTGTTGTTGTTAAGCGCAAAGCATTATAAGTCTCCAGTAAAAATAACAAAAAACAGCAATATCACATAATGTCAGTTCATGTTCAATAAATGCACGTGTTAAACAATAATATTTAATGCATCTTTTGTGTTGATTGGTTAACTGATTAAAAACTTGCAGGCTTTTTTAATAAACTTATAACTGTGATGTAAATTTACTTGAAAAAATAAATAAACAGGAAAAAAAATGTAGCTTAAGATAACTTTAAGAATCTGAATCATTAAAAAAACAATATGTGGACACAATGGCAACTTTTAATTTTATTAAAACACGTATAATTAATTTTAAAAATTCCCCAGTTTCCTTGAAGTCGAAGCCTAAATTTATAATATTTCACATCCATAGACATTTATGTTCACGTGAATATTTCCATATACCAATATTTTTCTTACTACCGTCAAGTTTATGAAAAAATATTTAACATTTTTTTCCATTAATTATTGTTTTGAATAGCAAGCAATAACTTCTGGTAAAGATTATACTTTTTCTTTGCAATTGTTTCATATATATTTGATTATGTGAATTTTTTCATTTAATAAACATTAGGTCAAAAAGTTAAACATAAAATGGGCGACACCATCTTCTAAGGTTTCGAGTACCTATATTTATTTACCTTTCAGTATATATATATATATATATATAT